ATAACTTAAAATCAGTTAATCAAAAATTATACATTTGTAATTGTTTAAAATATGATTTAAAATGTTTAAACATGTTTGTCAATATTTAAAAAAAATTCTCCTGACATAATTTTTTATCGTTTAAGTATATTATTCAATAATATTACACAGTTATTATTGCCGAATTAAATATAATATTCCATTCCAATTCATTTATTTAAAATTGTATAATTTTTAAAAATTTCATACTACATGCATTTTTATTTTCATAAATTACAATGTTTATGATTTTAATTAACTTATTATGAAATTTTTATTTTGTTTATTAATTATCTCAATCGATAAAGCAATATCCAACTAGAACTTTTACTAGTCACAGATGAACAATTATTTGGTATTCACCGTTATTTTTTTAATAAGTAAAAAACCTGAGTGACCGACTTTAAAGTGTATGCATTATTATAATATAATCGCTGAATTAAATACAATATTCCAATTTTAGTAATTTTACAGTTCATTTATTTAGAATTGTATAATTTATAAAAATTCCGTACTACATAAATGTTTTTGCTGTGTAAAACTATTTTATTTGTGATTTATTTGAATTATTTCTTCACATTCAAACATTTACAGAGTATTTTTTTTTATATAGTTTAACTTTGACATTTTTGAACATTGTGTTTTATTATTAAGTTGATATTTATGCAGCAAATCTAAGTAATTATTTATATTTATTTAATCAAATATTTGATAAAAAAATAATATTTAAACGAATAATAATAATTTTTATTTTAATTACTTTGATAGCAATATTCAAGTATCATAGATTTTACTTAGTGATACATTGGCTAATCCTAATGCACATGGTTGTATTAGATTCTAGGTTAAAACATATGTTCATAGACAAGGGAAACTCAAAACATGATATAGTACAGCAGATTAATATTTACTTTCCTCATTTTGTTACTGATAAGTATTTTGAATTAAATGCAATTTTTATAAAAAAATTATATCTATGTATGACATTTTTTTTTAAATCAAGCTAAGAATTTTATGTTACTTTTTATGCAACAGTAATGTGCAATTTAATAATATAAAATGTGCAGCTGGAATTTAAAAATTATTGTTTTCTGTTCTTTTCTTATTACTATCTATTTTTAATCAACTTTATTTATTAATTAGTGTGAAATACGGTCTAGAAAATACACCAATCTTATAGTTATCTTGGATACCTATTTCAAAACATAATGATTTAGCTGAGTCGATTTCAATTAGAAATTGATTCATCAGATTCATTCTCAGATGTAACTGTCTATTTTTCATTAATTATCAACAATAATATAGTAATCGTGGCTTGTACCACAGTTTTTTGTCTTTACCAAACCATAGTAACCACAATTTAAAACAAATTTTTATTTCGTCTTTTTTACTCAGATGGATTAACTAATATCAAAATTTCAAATCTAATACCATTTATTCTTTTATTGTCCATGTTTAACACATATTTCTTACTATCAGCAGCTGCTGGCTGCACTGCTGTAGCTATATCATATTATCTTATGAATCATTAGATTTCAACAAGTGAAAATAATTGTTCTATCTGCAACATGCTTTTTTAGTTATATCAGATTTCTCAGTTTGTTCATAGGTATCTTGTCAAGAGTCAATAAATTATTTGAATTTAAGTAAGTAGTTTCTATATTTTTCATTCGTAATGTTTTGAAAATGAGATAAAACATATATTTCTTATTTCATTTTTCCTAAATATATTTAACACGTTTTGTATTTTAAACAAAAGAAAATAATTATTTTAATGTACAAATAATATAATGAAATATTTATTTGATTAATATGTTTTAAAATGTATATCAGTATTAAGTTTTTAAACTAAAAGTGTCTAATATCTACCACTTGTCACTTTATCCTCTTAAAGAATGTAATTGCAACTATTAAAGATTTATTAAGTAGTCTTGTAGATTATTCAAATTTAAATATTTGCATATTAATAAAAATTGTATTGCAATCTGTTGAGGTAAAATATAATTATTAACCAGCTTATTTTTTTATATATATATATTATATATTATTAATAAACTTAAAACTGGTTCCATTTTAGAATATAATTTTTGTTTGACTGACAAACAAAGAAAATCACATATGCCAAATTTAATTCGGTGAATTTGTTATGATTTTATAATTTATAATTGTATATATACATAAACATGATTTTGTATTTTGATTTAATTTTTATTAGATTTGTTGAGTATTTCCAGAGGAATATTTTAAAATAAAATGAGTTAGAAAACTGAATTAGATAATCTTATTATTAAATTATGAATATTATACATGAATAAATTACAAAGTTATTTGAGAATTAGGCATTATGTTAGTCATAAGTTAAACCTAACCAAACTAGAATACAAAAATTATAATACTAAAAAAATTCATATTTAGCGCTTTAATATGCATTTACCAAAACACCATACCAAACTCATAATATAGCATTAAGAATAGGTAACTATACTAAACAAAATCGTAAACAAAATTTTTTTTATAATACAAATTTTTTATTGAATATGGTAGTAACTAGTAGGTGATTAGGAATTATAATAATTAAATGGTCCGACTCAAAAATATGACAAATCCCATAATAGCAGTACAATACATTTGAACATTTTTTTAAATATAATCAAATTATTGGAAATGGATGGAATAAACTTAAGATGTTATTGGCAAAAACAATCAATAATGTATCCACTATTGTAAAATCCAAAATCTTTTTTTCGTTTGTATATTTGTTAACTATATTGAGGTTGTATTACTTCTTATTTCTTTTATTTTATAAAAATTTGCTTTTAAATAGTGCTTAAAATAGAATTATCAAAAAAGCTCTAGAAATCTTAAATATTTATAAGTTATCAAAATAAAACTTCTTCGTATCAGAATTTAGTTAAACAAATTTGGTTCTTATTTTTAATGTTCTATGATTTTCCAAAAAAATATTATTTATTTATAAATATATTTGATGATGGTTTTATTTATCGCACAGGTCTTAATTCTTAAAAAAATATTTTAAAGTGTGCTTATATGTATATAATATTGAAGTGTTTAGTTTTATTTAGAAATTTAGGGTTATTACAAAATTAATATTTTTTAATTTATTTTTCAGTTATTGAAAAATGTCTACACCAGATATAAAATCAGTCCTTAATAGGCATTTTCCATTTGCTAAGAAAACACCAAATATACTTTCTAAATTATCAGATAAAGTTGATACAAAAATAAATGAACAAAAATTAATTGAAGAAAAAAGTTTTCTTATTGTTAAGAATTCAGAGTCTAGTCGATGTGATGTTTTAACAGATAATAATGAAAAAGCAAAACCTATTCAAGAAAAAACATGCGGTAATGACATTTCTAAAAATACTATATCATCAACATTTAAAACAATTAAATCACAAGATAATGAGCCGGAAATTATATCTATAAAAAAGCGTGATCAACGTTGGAATATTCCTTACTCAAGCAAATTTGATAAAACATTATTGACTATGCAAGATCTTTTACACTATAATCCAGTCACCAATCCTATAACCAAAGAACACAAAGAAGACGATCCAGATGATGATTTGTTGTCTTTAGATCCAGTAAGGAAAATTGCAAATTGTAAATATAATTAAAAATATATAAGTGATCTTATTATTATGTTGAAGTAAACTTTTCAAATGTATAACACTATTTACATTTATTTTCATATAATTTTTTATGACATCATTTTTACTTTACTAGTAATAAATTAATGAATCATTAACGGGATTTAGATGTTATACCACTAACATTGTAAATATGCAAAATAAAATTGTCAATCAAATTTTAGATTTTTATTTATTTTAAAAATTTAAATTTTTTTGGTAAAATATGGTAGTGGGTATTTAGGATCTATAAATATTTGGTCTGATTCTAGAACGTAAATAAGATAAATCTGATAATTTTGGTACGCTGCATCTGAAGTTACTTTAAAAATGACCTAATTATTAGAATAAATTGAATAAATTGATCAAAGTCATCTGTTATAACAACCGATAACGTACCTATAATTTGAAAATCAAAATACATATTTTTGTTCCTATATTTGTACACTTTATTGAACTTATATTGTTTATTTACTTAATTATATAAAAATATGCCTATAAATAGCACTTATAACTCTTAATTGACAAAATAGCTTTAGAAACTGTTAACATGAATAAATTAACAAATTGAAATTTGTCTCATACCAAAATAGTTTGAAATACATTTATAACTTACTTTTGATGTTTTATAACTCACAAAAAAAATATACCTAGTTACTAAGACTTCTGAACTCTGATTATAAGTTTAAGTTAATACAAATGTATACTCAATTTTTAAGTTAATTTTTATATTTTTCAGGAGCAAAAACCAACAGTTATTAATAATTGCATTACTCCACGTATCAAAGTAAATATTGATGGTAAAATTATCATTGATCAAGAAACATTAAGTTTAGATGAGACTGGTTTTGAAGAAAAACGAGAAGAATTGGCTAAATCTAAAGTTATTGAAGAATCTGCATACCATTCAAGAAGTTATTCTTATAAACGTAAAAAAGAAGCTTCCACAAAATGGTCTAAAGATGAAACAATTAAGCTTTACAAATGTTTAATGAATTTTGGTACTGACTTTTCTATGATTCAGCAATATTGTCCTAATCGAACTCGAGCTCAAATCAAACGAAAATATAAAGCGGAAGAGAAAAAAAATCCTCAACTTATAAATAGTGTCCTAACTAACACAACACATTTTGATAGTGCTAGCATTGAAGACATGCTTGAAAATGATAAGATTGAAGTAGAAGTAAAAAAACTTGATACAAATGCAGACTCAGAAGTTTGTACAAAAAACACTAATCAGAGACGTCATAAAAAAGTAATACGCTCAGATTGTAGTAAATTAAGTATATGTGCATACATGTTGGAAGAAGAAATTGTATTGAAAAATAAAAGAAAACATCCAACTAAAATATTTACAGCACAGGATTTGAAAAAAGAACTAGCCAATATGCCAAATACAAAGAACAAGAAAAAACACGATATTGATGAAAATGAAGACGAGTCACCTTAAGTTTAAACATAACAAGATTCTCATGAAGAAAATCAGGAAAGTATCACTAAATACAAAAATTCAAATATTGAATGAAAACAATAACATTATTGATTTATAAATATTATGTAAATTAAGTTGTTCACTAAAATTTATTGATACAGGGCTTATTATAATATTATTTTTAATATAATAAAAGTTTTTATTTTAAATTCTTAGTATATAATTTTAAATTTTAATGCATGGTAATCAATGTATTAATTTATAAATAGCATCTACTGATTTTTGTAGACTGTTTACAAATCATGTTACACCATAAAAAACAATTATTCTTGCATTTACTTAGCAGTGGTAGATATGAGATAATTTTAGAAATAATGACTTATAACACTGAAATACTTCTATGCATTCATTATCAAAGACCCGTAAGTAAAGTACTATGCTATAATAAGTTACTTTAAAATTAAAACGTAAAAATATCTATATGGGACATTTAAGTCTGCTGTTTCACAAAAGATTATAGATAATAATATGCTTCCTTAAAATTTGATAAGTTATGCAGGCCAGGTAATATAAAAGTCTGATATTGGCATGAATCGTTTTCATCTTGTTCACACATAACATGGAAAATTTATGTAGAATTTATTTTAATAGCAGGCATCTACTTTTTTACAAAATATAACATTTTATTAATTATGATAAAATATGTAAAGTTCTTAAAGACTAATAAATAATAACAAAAGTTGTGATTGTTATACAAAATTGAATATAATATAACAAGTAATAGAACTGGTACACAAACAAAAATGGATAAATTTCATAAGGAAAAAGCAATTTAATCAGAATAAAATATTAAGTATAAAAAAAATAAAGCTGACATTATATAATGTAGGTAATAATAATTGTATAATATTACAAATTAAATACATTTTTTTGTTCTTTGCTTTTCATTCCATCTTTCTTCTTAATCGTTATTCTAATTTATTTTATTATTTCTTTATCATTATCTCCAGCGGAGAATCGGTGTAAACTGCATCTAAACTAAAACTTCACAATCTGCAATTATAACATTATATTTTACCAAGACAGCTATTATAATCTAATTAAGACATAAAAATAAACAATTAACACTATTATTAATACATTTTTACCAAGAAAATAACTTAATAAATTATTATTGAAAACAATTTATCATAAAACTACCTTCATAAATTATTTTTAAATACAATTTTTCATAACGTCATAAAGAAAAAAAAAATTTAATGCACTCAATTTGTAACTAAGCTGACCAATAGACTGACTAATAAAAAATTCAATAACATTTTGAATAAAATTGATTTATTTATTGTGTTAATAAAAATAACGAGACTAATTTATAATACATAATAAAATGCATATACTATATCATATTTAGTATAACTTATTTTATATGGATAACCAATAAACTGTATTATTAAAAAAAAAAAAAAAAAATATTGAATAATTTTAAACACAAATGATGAGTAGGTATATAAATTTAATTTGTTTTCATGATATTAATAACTAATATGTAAGAAAGTATAAATTATGGACATGAACAATTTATGATCATTATTTAATAAACTTAATATTTATTTTAACAAGTTAATAGAACAAAAAAATTAATTCTATAATACTACATAATTTCGATGATATAACCAGGGTTCAAAACAATAGAGCTGACTAAATAAATGAAAAATTTTTTGTTTAAAATAATTAAATAATTATTTTTTTCAACTATATTAATTAATAAATATGTCTATAACATTATTTAATATAAATTTTACATTTGGATAACCCTCTGAACATAATATTCTATGCAGCTTATTATATTCTCGATAAATAATTAACAATTTGTATTTTTTAATTATAATAATGGTTATTTGTGGTAATTTTATTATTATTTTAGTAAATTGTTTGTATTCACTACAGAATTATGTATCTATAAAAATGTCATGAAAAATTATTGAATTTTAATATTAATGTACTTATCTAATAGAATAAATAAGTCTTTTCTCTTGGAACTATTCAACTATTCTTAGTATGTTATTTTCTTTTTCTTTTTCCTTTTTTTTTTTTTTTTTGACTTGAGTATACTTTCAACTGACCAGTTTTTATGTTCTGAAAGATAATTAACTGAAATTAGTATCATAATAAAAGAAGTTCCGAAATATATTTTACTTTGATGCTTCCATTAGCAACTAGTATTTCATACTAATTCAATGAGGAGGTCTGATTGATCGACAAATGAAACAAAGGACGTTCATTGATCAACAAAACCACGTACATAAAATCAAATATACAGTGACGTCATGCGGTGAACATCATAGCATTTATTGTTTGATTTCAGTACCATATACTACAATCCTGTAGTAAACTTGACAATCCACAATGCTATTTTTTACTAAAAAATTGTTAGTAGTTTAGTACTAGTTGTTTTTTTTTTCTATAGTGAAATGCAATTGTACATCAGCATGAAGGAACTCGAGCGACTAGAATCGCATAGAATTTAGTGAACAATAATTGATGACTGCAAAAACCACGAGAAAAAGAAAATTTTTAATAATTAATGTCCAATTTAATCGATACCTAAATCTACAAAACTTACACGTGATAGAACGAATTGAGAGCATTGGACAGCTTTGAAGTGAACTACAGCCAAGGTTTATTGTGATTGTTGAATATTCTATAACCTTTCGAGACTTTTAAACCCAAACTAGACCAGTATCGAGAGCGTGGCTAACGTTTAGACAGTTTTCCTGAAAATCATTATAAATATCGCCGGCATAATCTTTATCAGTTATCAGTGTTATCAAATAAAATATTTTATAAATTATAATATATTATAAATAAGTAGGAATCTCAAACACTTCACGGACATATACAAATTATCTGAGAAATTCAAATATATTTTCAGAATTTTTTATCGATTAATAAATCCGATAGCAAATAGTTCGATATTATTGACTAAAAAAATAAAATAATTCGTGACCGTATTCTCGTAGTACGATATTGTCATGTTGACATGACGAGCCTAGACATGCGGGACACTAGACGACTATACCTACTATTTTCACACACTGCGATTAATAATCTTTTACTACCTATGTATACAGGCGGATATTAAATAGATTTTCATTTATGAGAGTCTATATTGATCCCTTTGAGTGACTTGCACGTGAACTACTTTTGTGTAAAAGAATACTATATAAGGTTTTCAGGAAAAACTTCCACGAAGAATGATCTGATATATATATATATATATTATATCAAATACGGATTAAAATCACTATAGACGTGTATAGGGATATATTATATTACGTTTAGATAAACAAATGATGCGAAAAAAATAATATTTAGCGTGTTTATCAAATTTTTAGGTGTAGCGCGTAGGTAGTGCATGTGCCACACTGTCATTGTCACACACTCGTACACACAAATCATATAAACATCCGTCGCCAGAAAAAGAAACTACATGTGCATAGTCGACGAATATTATCCAGCGTTCGAGTGAAGTATGTAAAATATATCGACGACGCCGTCATAAGTTCACAAAAACGAGAGCATTGCTGTTAGGTTTTTGTATAATAGGTACATTTATAAAGTTTATTTTAACTACGTTGCAGTGGACGATCGACGCTTACATTTTGTTGATGAATGATTCAACAATCTTATTCGTGTCTAGAATCTACATCAAGTGTAAAATACTGTTATTAGCATCATAAGTATCTAGCAGAATTTTCCAAAATTTTAACAATGTGGTACATTAAATTATGTGCTTAATTTGAGCGTAATGAAAATGTACAATTGTTTTTGTTGGCTTTTAACCTTCTGGGTTAGATTTTGATAAGTTTTAAGTTAATAAATAACTGCATATAGAATAATTTTAAACTCCAATAATTTTTTGCATTAACTTTTAATCACTTTTAAATCATTTATTAACATTAGGTTATGTCTATTAAATTTAAATGTATTTTACAAGAATGTATTTTTTAGGTTTTTCTTTTATTATTAGTATTCAAATTAATAATTAGGAACATATCATTCAAGTGCTGTATTTTGTTGAATAACTATCCATACTCGTAAACATTTATTACAGAATCATATTTTGTAGATTTTATAAAAATGCAATTAAATTTGTCATTATTATTTTAATCGTTGTAAACATAAAACATAAAATAAACGAAAACAACTACAATCAAATACTAAGTTTTTATTAGAAATAAGACCAGCTAATGGAATTTAAAATAATATATATATTACTCACATATTTCACTGATGACCTTCATTATTAAATTATACATATATGTATATATTTTTATTTTTAATATAAAAATATGAGTTTTGGAATAACCAAATTTATTTCACATCTGCTAGAATTTTTTTTATTTTAATTTGTAATTTTTTTAAACGTTTGAATGTAAAGAAATAACTTTGTTTATTTAACAAATTTCTCTAATAACTTATTAAGGATCTTGTATTAAACTTTGAAGCCATTCACCTCCTCAATAGTATTTTGCTAAGTACTTTGTAATGATTTCTATGTATTAAGTATATTATTTAATACTATGACTAACATATAATATGTTATACACGATTAAAAGAAAAAAGTAAATAAATAACACTAAACCAATAAACTATACCCTGGCTCTTATATTCATTGAATTTTTAAATTTGATTAATTTATATATATATATATATATATATTTATTTATTTAAACTTTAAAAGTAGGTTACTCAGGTTTTTTACTAATGTTTTTAAAAAGATAACAGTGAGTACCAAATAATTGCCCATCTGTGACTAGTAAAAGTTCTAGTTGGATATTACTTTATCGATTGAGATAATTAATAAACAAAATAAAAATTTCATAATAAGTTAACTAAAATCATCAACATTGTAATTTATATAAATAAAAATGTATGTACATAGTATGAAATTTTTATAAATTATACAATTTTAAATAAATAAACTAGAATATTATATTTAATTTGGCAATAATAACTATGTAATATTATTGAATAATATACTTAAACAATAAAAAATTATATCAGGAGTATTTTTTAAAATATTGACAAACATGTTTAAACATTTCAAATCATATTATAAACAATTACAAATGTATAATTTTTGATTAACTGATTTTAAGTTATACTATAACATATAAAAAAAACATGAAATGTAAAAGCAGTTCGTAAAATCGGTTAATTAAATATTATATTTAAATTAATCACAAATATTAAGCACTAATATAATATACAAACAACAAACATTAATAAATAATAAACAAAAAATGTTTTGTACAAGGTTATTTTACAATTTAATCTACCATTTCTGCCCAATGATTGAGGTTGATGTTTGGAATTATTTGAGATTTACACAGTTGCAAATCGGTAACTGAAGGTTTCAAAAAAGCTTGTTTCTGCATCTTTGTGACATTATTACTATTATCACAAAAGATTCTGGCAAGCGATACTTTCCTAATTTCTCTCAGTTGATCTTAAATTAAAAAGAGTTGGTTAAAATAAAGTTTATTTATTAAATATCGTTTTGTTACCATTCACCTTTATTAAATACATCCGGCAAGTCGTAAAAATATCTATCAGCAATTCTTGTTCTTACAAATTGTTCTCTAACTATACATCTCATTGTTGGACCAACCATCGCGTCGTCCACGTGCTTCTCAAACAACGCACCTATCAATAGATCTATGTCGTTCCAAGTTTTATATAGCTTTAATAATCTATCAACTGACTAAATATGATATACAAATAAAAAGTAATTAGTACAATTTTAAACAGTATAATATTTCCACTTTTTTTTAAACTTACACCTGGCACCATGGTTTGAGACAAGTCTTGTAAACTTTCTATACCTTTTAGTCCACAAAATTTTCTATACTCCGTGTAACTTGGAATACCGTGATCTCGACTGCGCTGGATATCTAAGCTGACAATATCCATTCCAAACAAATTATTCGGGTGAACACTGTATAAGTAATTTGTAATCTAAAAAAATAATTAAGAGTGGATTAATGATAATCATTTAAACTATAAGTAAGAAAACTTATGAAGAACATTGTATATAGTTCTCAAGCATTAGTATATGATAGTGTTGACCGAGTATAACTCACTATAAATTTATTATCTGGCCCATCAAAGTAATTAAAATTAACAAAAATATATAAATATTCTAAACATGTAACGTTTGTAAAATTTAATAAAATATTTTTATTCAAATAAATAATTGTCATAATTCATTTATACTTAATATTTATAAGAATCGATGTATAATAAACAGTGTTAGGAAATATCTAGATAAATTATCTAGGTACAATTGATTTTTCTTTTACCTTATCTAAATAATTCTCAACTCATTTATATTTAGATAAAATTGTAAATATCTATAAGTACCTATCTAGATAATTGATTTTTATGAACTAAAAAAAAAAAAAATTAAAATTAAAAATATTATTTTTTCAAGTGTAAATTGTTCTTGTTTTATTAATAAAAATTAATCATTTTTATTTTTTCAAATTTAAGCTTTTTTTGTATTGTTATCTATTCCCAATACTGATAAGCATCAGTATATCTATAATAGGATGTGCATAAATAAAATTTGACATTATATTTAAAGAAAAAATTTAATTCTTGGCCGTAGAGAAATTTCTTTATGACTCTTGGTAATTAAATCTTAAAGTTTTACAAATTGCTTAAAATGAGCAATGTTTTTAAACATATTATATCAAATTCGGTTAATAATAATAAAGATATAGACTTCATAAGTATTGATGATGTTAAGACACAAAGTTTGTAATTTGTTTTTATTGTGTTTCATATCCTACCGTCTGTGTAAACAGCATATCCACTTTTTGAGTATTTTGCGTTGATAGTCCTCTTACAAGTAGATCCATGTAATTCATTAGTAAATTAGTTGGTCGGTTGTAATGTTCCTTTAGCGAAAGGCTACCGTAGACTGCTCGGTTTTCTAAGTATAAACTAAATACAAACGAGTAAATAAATATTTAAAATATGACTTTATAAATAACTAAATCTAAATATTCTCTTTACGTACATGCAAGTGTATCAAATTTTATATAATAAATTTCTATGTTTTTTATAATATAATTTTTAGTAAAGCACCAACTGTATCTTCAAACAAAACTAAATTTTTAAAAATATTTAATAAAAAATATTTTTATTAAGTAGGTGTGCACTTATTTACTTAATGCAATTAAAACAAATATAATTTTTTAAATTGGTCAGCAAGATCATAAACTTGAAATATTTGAAAATAAAATAACAAATTTTTACTAACTGTTAATTTTTATACCAAAGAGTAATGGCTTATTCGAATAATAAAAATATGATATTCGGTATGTACGAACCTGATTGTATCACTGAGCATGGAATTGGCGAATGGTAGTATTGCGGTCGCAAAGCTGTTGCTTACAGACGGGTCGGCGGACTCGTTGTACGCGTTGCTGTACCCGTCTGTCAGCAGTTGCAGCCCGTTCCGCATGGTGTAGTCTTTGCCTAGTAGAGTCGGAAGCCACTCAGCGTATGTGATGTGTTGAATAGACGCTATCACTATTTTCCTGGCCTCCTGGAAAATGCGATCATCGTCCCAGTGCGGGTTTAGGTAGGACAGTGTTTTGGCCAATCGATTATGTTCCCTCATCCACAATGTGTGCATGACCGTCAGTTGAGGAAGCCCGTTTACACGGTCATCTCCAGATCTGTAACACGTTCCAGTTCCATACTGACACTTGTTATAATCGATGTCTTCTAGTGGCATATATTGCGGCTGTAGCGGGTTTCCTTTGGTTTTATGAACACAGCCTTCGTCACTCAACAGTTGGCCCCCCGTTTTGGACCTCAACGACCAAGTATGTTTAGCCGAAGTACCATATATCATTGATCCGTCTAAATAATGAGTAGCTTGGTTCATCTGTGAAACATAAACGTGTCAAATAGTTAAAACTCTTAATTTAAAGTTTTTGAGTGAATTTAAAAAGATTGTTAGCTAGAATAAAAGAACTATTTTGCTGTTTGATTATTATCATATATCACAAACGTAAAAAAAAAGGGTAATATATTCAACCGGTCAGAATATTTAACAATTAATTTTCATAATATTATATAAGTTCATCTTTTTATAAATTATAATATTAATATTTTATATCGCTGTTACTTGATCCTTGGGTCCAAATGTACAATCGGGACGCACCGCTGGCACCGATCGCACATAGTTCATGCACCTGTGCATTGAATTACTAAAAAACGTATCATTATCAGGTATCCTTATTTGCATGCACAAGTCATATGTGTCACGAGGAGATAGCTCCCTTTCCTCATCATTACAACATTTTACCGGTACTTTCGTTTTTCCTATCGATTTAACATACATAAACATGAATTAACTACGATCTATCAGTTTTAACGGTTATGTTTGATCTTACTCATGCTGGAAATGACAGTGTGTGATAAATCGTGTCTTATAAAAATTGTCCAGTACGCCATCACCATCGTTTTTAAGGGGTCAGGTGAATCCTCGTCTACGACGAGTTCATTTCTTAGTATTCTTGGATTGGGTAGTTTTTGAGTAACACGGTAAACACCTACATGAAATTACAGAATTATATCCCCTTATGCATGAAATATAATTCTTAGTATAGATAAATATCACATGTGCTTTAAGCAAATGTACTATGACTATTATATTCATAAAAACGTTTATACATATTATATGTATGTTTTACTGAAAAATGTTTGTTATAACAAGAATTAAAAAATATTACCGTCTAAATAAGCCGGAAACAGCAAACGTGTATACGGCATGGTTGCTCTTCCTAAATAAAAATGCTTCAAGTTGTTACAATAACCGTCAAGACTACGGTACTTCAAATTCATTCCGTTACACCCAGCTCTGTTGTAATTGTCGGACAAACACACATCACCTAATGATGAATTATCTAGTTTTATTTTCGATACTTTTTTGGCACATTCAATCCCGTTACTGCAATAAAAATGTATTTTATGCATATTAAAGTTACATTTTTTTTATTTTTTTTTGTTATTAAAAATTAAGATACAAATTTATTATTTTTATACATTCTACTACTGCACATAAAAAACGATGAATGAGTTATAACTTCAGCATTCCAATATGCTAAATATCCGTCTTCGGAAAGCTGAGATTCAATTAATTGTCCATGAGTAGGACTTCCAATTTTAATTTGAACATCTGTAGTATTTAATTTTTTAGACTCTATATCGTCAATATAAAATTCAATCGAATGAAAACCATATTTTATTGCCTCTTCAATGTCATCGGTATTAATAGTGTGGTATCTGTTTGTTATGTTTGCTATTACACCGTCTACATAAATCGTTAGGTTAGGTTAATATTTTAAATCAATTTATATAAAATGATGTCACAACAAAATTTAAAATTATGATATATTTACTTTTACAAATGTTATCTCCGAAAGGTTTATTTGATGGCTTGCATGGCCCTTCGAATCCTTTGCAACAAGGATTTAATAACACCGACATACAAATCAACAAAGTTATGGACATTGTAGTACTCATCGTGATTATTAAAACCTGTGAAAACATTATAAAATGTATAATTATTAACTGTGAATGTAAGTTTATACATATTTTTTTGTTTTTATAATTTTGAATTAATTGCTTTATAATATATTTAGGAATTTTATCCTAAGAAATTTATCACAATATATTTTTAAGTATATTTAATTAAGAGCTAATAATAGATTTATTATCTAATTCATTAGTCTAAATTGTAAACAAGGAGTTATTTTAGCTAAAAACTTTCAGTTCATGAGTGAAGCAATATATCACATTTATTTCTAATATAAACTTATAATTTATTAGTTATCTTATAGTTAGGAAATGATATGTGTGTGTACGTATTTAAAAGCTATAATTACAATATAGTATATGAAGACTCTAAACGAATGTATTTTAATGAGATCTATAAGGAGCTGAGGAACAGTGTATATTATAACACCAAACGTACCTACCAGTGTAATTTAAAATTTGTTCAAAAAACCAGTTCTTTTATAATATTATTGTTTTAAAACGATATTAGTATTTTGTGTTTTGTCCTATGGATGACAAACCCATCATTTATGTATTATATATCAAAAGTCTACAAAGGGGTAAAATATAACAAACACGTATAATTTTAAAGATAAATAAAAAAAAAAAAACCATTAAATCGCTAAAAACCATTTCTATTACTAATACGGTCATACATAATACTAAAAACAGTCATGTTAATGTATATAATTAAAAAAACAACATGTTTGTTTTTAAATAATAATTTGATAGATACTCACCAAAATCTGTATTGTACTGAGTAGATAAATAGCTGTTAGAACTATCGTGTGATTTTTTTCGAATGAATGTGTCGTTAAACGCCGAAATTACTTATCCAATGATTGTAATTACTTGATTAATTCCGTTAATTATGTTATGCAGCCTTGATGGAGAGGATAACTTTGTGTTCTTTTCTTAGTTAATAGTTCTATCGTCTTACGAGTAGTACAGTCGCAGAATACCAACGTCAGCGATCACGAAGAAAACTCAATACTGACGAATTAGAAGAACCCCCATCCTTTTTATTGAACTCCAGGTGGCTATCCCCACCAAAAACCAGTCAAACAAACTTGCGTACATTTAACACAACATCACCGCCATACCATCTAAAATTTATTTTTCATTTTTTCAATTTCTATTATTTTATCGAGATTGTTTTCATGAGACTTAAGTTTTTTAAAATAATTAATATTAATTTTATTCGGTAAATATAAAACTTAATTACATTCTTTTTAATCAATAAATTGATATACTTTTAATTTCATTTTCCATATTATAATATTACAATAATTTAAAACCTTTTTGATCAAATTAAGACTTAGTACAGTTTTTAGGGACTTAATCTATTATCATACTGATTATAATATGCCATAATTAATAATTTATTTTTATATTTTTATATTTTCATTCTATGTAAAAGAAAACGAATCTTTATAACTGAGTTATTACGTAAAATTCCGAGCTTTTCATATAGAAAAGAATATTATTTTACCAACCACATACACTAAGGAATTTTTAGAGTGTTGATCTTTTCGGATTTCTACAATATTTTATAAATATGTGTATGTAGAATGTATTTACATGTTTTGTGATCGGAATTTTACGTTGACCAGGTGGCAACCAGTTTTTTTTTTGTGTTGAGGGATGAGCGCCGGCTAGATGTTAATTATATAGTGTTGTTGTCTTAAACCATGGGTACACAAAATGTTTCATGTTATTTATTTTTCACATGCAGCATTGAGCTCACCAAGAGCTGAATAATAAACACATTAGCATAGGATTTTTTTAACAAGAATCATATTAAAAATAATAACTTATTATTAATTATTTTCAAAAAAATAACAAATTTACACAATATGCCAATATTAGATGCAAGTAAAATCACATTAATTAATTTACTGGTTTTAACATAAATAACATAATGATACTAGTACAAGTCAATATGTAATAAAAACTAAGAATTTTAAGTCGGATATACGCTCATTGAAGTAATTTAAATATTCTTCACTATGCAGATTGAATGATAACAAACACAACTGTGGAAAAAATGCATAAAAATCTTCATTTATTTTCTATACTCATTAAAACACGTCATTACGAAAACCTATGAGTCTATTTTATATTTTAAAAATTGTTTCAATATTTTACTCGAGTTTTGAAAGTTTTTAAATACTATTTAACAAATTTTGATTCTAATAGTTACTTGGGTAAGGAAATGTCACTTTAAAGAATATTATTCTCATCATAATAGATATATTTGCAATATTTTATACTACGTTAAGCATTTTATTTTTAATGATTAAAGATAAAGTGATAAAACTCATAAGCCTAACATGTATCATTAAAATCTTAGATTAACATACACTGTTTAAAAAAAAAAAAATAAGAAATAATTTAAAGAATACAATGGAAGGATTTAACTAATTTGAATTTTACTTGGATCTATATATTTGTGAAAAACTTATTAAATAAATATTACTGATCATTTGTATACCATAGGTACTCAATAGATTTGATTATCTATGCTACAAATTTTTAGACATGACAATACATTATTAATGTTAATAACTAAAAATTTTATTTAATGGACTAATTATTTATACTGTAGAAATTAGTTTGATGGTATTATACTTAATCTTATAACTTCTGTATATTATGTATGTTAATTCATTGATTGAAAAACACCTGAATCATTTATTTTATTTAAAAGTCAAAACATTAATAACTAATTAATATTATATTTTATCTTGACAGCTATTATCATGTAATTAAGATATTACAAATTTACGAGTATATTATATTCTCGTAAATATATGAGCACTATTATTAATATTTTTTCCAAGAACTACCTTTATAAATTATTATTGAAAACAATTTACTAAGAAACTCTTATCATAAATTATTTTAAACACAATTTAGATATTTTCATGAGAAAAAAAACTGTATTGCACTCAATTTGTAACCATTTTTTACTGCCTGACTAACTATTCAAAAGTTCAATCATATTTAAAAAAAAAAAGATTTATTCATAAATAATTATAAAAAAAAATGATGAAACTAATTTATAGTACTTATTAAATTATATATATTACATCATTATTCAGTACACCATATTGTACATAGATATCTAATTAACTTTATATTATTAAAAAAATAAAGCATGATTTTAAACAAAAATATTAGTATTCAATTTTTTTTCGTATTTGATTTTTTTTTTGTCCTCTCCAATCAACTTAAATTTATTTTTAAATACTCCCCTAGTTTATGCCTGTCAACTGTTTAAACATAATTTTGTATTTTAATTTATTTGTCAATTCTGGTCAGACTTGTATATTATATACAATTAAATCTAGAAATTAATTATAAAAATACAACGGTCGAAACAACCTTTGTTCAATATTCAAATCAATTATTTATGGTGCGCAATAGTGTAGTATTTGTGGTATGTACAAAACCAGATTGAGATGGCTGCCCTAGAACAATACATATATTGATACTCCTTATTAATAAAAAACTATTATAACAACATATATTTCATTTATATAATACTACAGTAGTCACTCATTAATTCGAACCTCGATTATTCGATAAACTCCATAAATTGAACTAAACGCCGAGTCCCCCGAGAAAACCTCTATAAAATTAGAAGAAAATACAAATATTTCGGTCTCCTTGATAATTCGAAATGTCTATCGGTGAGACATACTCTACAATTCGAATTTTCATTCCACGAACCTCTAAAATTCGAATATCCTTAAACGCGATTATATGTAAGTTCATATGTATGTACAATCTATTTGACGTACTCGTAATGAAACTAATAACGATGGTGGTTAAATATTGTCGTGGTTTATAAACGTTATCGTACCTTACTTACCTAACCTAATCTTTTGTCAGGATAACGTCAATTTTTTGAGCAATTTGAAATGGACGAAAAAAGATGAGATACAATTGTCAATGCTATCAGCAAGTTACACAACGCTATGGACCAAATTGTGGCCAGTAATTTATCACAAAAAACAAAACCGATTTCTTTAATATGTAAAATATAATGTTATAATAAATAAATGTCAATTAATAATTGTAAAATATAATAATAAGTATGTATGTATGATAAATAAATGTAATATGTACATACAAACAATAATTTTTCACCTCTCTTTAATTCGAATTAATTTTTTTTCTCTCGATTATTCGAACACTCATTAAATCGAAAACCTCTATAAATCGAATTTTTAACTCGATCTTCTGAAACTTGAATTATTGAGTGGCTACTGTATTTATAACTGTGATAATTGCATAAGTCGAATTCCATCGCCCTGTCGCTAATCACTGCACCCCTCCCCTCTCCTCCAACCAGTCAAATGCATGAAGTATAGGTCGCGAATCTCTACAGACCGCGGTATTATGATACGATGTTCGATCGATATAATATTATATTCGTTGTACATCATTATATTATGATAGAGGTGGCAAACGTACCTAAGTATGTTCGCGAGCCACTTGGAAAAAATATGTAATGATATCAGTAGCCAAAATAGTTACAAACATATTTTGTAGAATTTGGTAGATTTTTATAAACGTATACTGAAAAAATTAATATTATTAATCCAACTATTTAAAAACTAATAAAATATTTGTTTTGAAATAAAAATAAAATAAATATTTAGTACTTTTTATACATATGTAATGTGTTTAAAATACGAAAGCGATACACATATGTATTATCCAAGTCTCCTTAAGTGGTTTATACTATTTTCATACAATTATTTATATAAATAATAATAAACTCAAGTCTTATAAACATTAATTTATAATATAAACACGAAATATACATATCAATTGTATAATAATATGCATATTTCATATTGTTTATCATACGAGTAGTTGTATTGACAACTATGTCGTGATATTGAAGTAATAAACTTTAAAATAACGTGTGTAAACTACCTATTCCGTCATTAATTTTTTT